GAGTAAACCAAGTAAATATAAAGTAATGTCAAGAAAGAGGAAACACTAACAAATGGGGGTGGGGTGACAGAGGAGGTGCAGATGGTAGGCTCAGAAAAGGAATCCTATAGGAGGTGGTGCCTGGGCTGTACTTTAAAGGACAGCCAGAAATTCTGTGAGGGAAAAGTGAGGGAAATGTACTATCCAGGCATGGGAATGCCCTGGAAAGAAATGATGACAAAGATGATTTTTCCTGCTTTAAAAATAAATACTGATGGGATCACAAGATCATAGATTGAGACAGGAATTTCAAGATCGTCCACACTAATTCCTTAATTTTACAGATGAGGAAACTGAAGTCTACTTGGGAAGCACTTGCCTTGAGGCACACAGGTAGCTATTGACTACCCTGAGATATGAGCCTACCTCTTCCAGCCACAGAATCATAATTCTGTCCATCACACTTGGCTACTATATCCTTCGAAGCAGAGGCTAACAGGATATTGGCGCCACACCATCTCCCACAAATGTTAAATGGCCTGAGTTATAATCAGAAATATTTTCAGTCCCCTTGCACTCCTTTATTCTTCTCTGGAATTTCTGGGCCCATGAAGGTACATCCCACAGTCCTATTTAAGAACCAAATGGAGCTATTAATTAGCAAATGTGAAATATAACCTTAGGATCTCCAATCCAACGTGAATTTATCCATTAGTACTCAAAACAAATGACTGAATAAAGCCACTGAGCTGTGAAGAAATCTAGATTATTGGCTAATTCCCCCACTCCCATAATCCTTAGATTACTACTGGTATTGTTCTTATATCGTGGAACTTTAATAGTGGAGTTTTTGCATATGTTTTGTTTTTTTTAATTCCCTCCATCATAAAAAATGAAAATGATGGAAGGGGTCCCCCTCCGACCTTTGCTCCATTTCTTTTTCTTTTGCTTGGTGCCCTGAAGCACCACTTCACTCTATTGAAAATGTAATTCTCTGGATTTGCCGAGTATCAGATGCTCCCTACTAACAGGATGATAAGCCCACCTCTCTTTGGTGGCCAAATAATTATTCTGTAAAGGAATCCAGGATCCAGGGCAGCAGAGAGAAACAAAACACAAAAATATGTCTGCAAAGCCTTTTGTATGGCTGGTACCACTAAAAAACGATTGGTCGAGTGCTGCATCTGGAATCTAGGCATCTTTTTTGCTCACATGGTGAGTTCATTTGGAATGTGCCATCAGTAGTGGGGTCTTACTATTATTGAGAGTTTAATAAGCACCAATGGTGGTGACTAATGTTAAGACAAGCCACTGCAAAGATTATCATTCCTAGGCTTTTGTGGAGAGCCCCCAATGTCCCTTAGTCCATAAATCCAGATGCACACTTCACTCTGGGGCTTATATTTTACCAAGAGGAGTGTACAGAGGAAAAATAAACCCTATTTGGGGGAGTAAATGCCGTGCCTGCTCCCATAGCTACCCATGGTTTATTATAGCGCTATGTTGTTTCCAGCACTACTTATAGCACCGATCATATGGGACCCTTAAAGGCTTGCTGATGCCTCATGGGCAGCTTCAGAATGATTTGGTTTATAAATAATTCTGCCTGCATATCTTACATGTTTAGGAATACCTCTCCTGTGCTTTTTATTATCGGGACATTTGCATGAAACTGGGCTATTTGGATACTTGCCCTTGGAGAGATATTGCTTATCACACACCAGCCCCACCCCCACCCCCCCGCTGCCTCCACCAAACCTCTCACCCCAAGCCTCTAAATCAGAAGTGCATTTTTCATACCATGGCCATTTCCATATGCTACAAAGCCAAGATTTGTGACCTGAGATGAGGAAAAGGAGCAACAAAGAACGAAATGCAAAGAAACAAATGTGGTATTCTTAAGCTATCCTATATCCTTCCATAAATGTTCTTCCCTTTTTCCTTATTAACTGATTGCTGAGCTTTTGTTGCTTCACCTGTGATCTTTGCTCGGGTCCCTCATTGGGGTTCCAGTCCAATTCAATTCACCAAATGTTAATTAGTTGCCTACTTGTCAGCAAAGTGGTGCAGTAGATAAACTTAGATTCAGGGAAACCTGAGTTCAAATCCTGCCTCAAATACTTACTAAATCTGTGACCCTGGACAAGTCACTTAAATTCTCTCAGCCTCAAAGTCCTCATCTCCAAAATGGATATAGTCATAGTAACTAATTTCTAGAGTTGTTGCGAGAATAAAATAATATTTGTCAAGCTTTCTATAAACCTTAAAGCTCTTTTTTGAAAGTCAACTATTGTTGTCTGCAACGCGATGTTTTATACACTGGGGACATAAAAATTAAAAACAAAAAGACCTGCCCTCAAGGAGTTGATATTTTACTAGCATGATACAACATGTGCACAGATAAATAACTGTAACTCATGTATAAATCAATACATACTAATATCAAATGAAAGAGAATGTCCAACAACCAGAAAGATCAAGAACGGCTTCATGTAGGAGTTAGTCCCTGAGAAAAAAGACAAAGACACAATCACACAGAGTTGAGGGTAGATACTAATTATCAAGAGTGACATCACATACTTAAATGGCACAAATAGCATTTAAGTATGGTCATAGGTGTCGCCCTACAGTGTGTGATTATATTGAAGCTTAAATGTAGCACCACAGATAATCGTTGTTACCATCACCTCTAGGATCAAATATAAACTCCTCATCGCCATTTAAAGCAGTTCCCAACCTAAATCCAGCCTACCTTCCCACCCTTATTATACTTTACTCCTGTGCTGGCTATCTTCATTCTAACCAAACTGGCCTTTGTGTTATTCATCACACAAACTCTGAGCCCTTAGCATTGGCTATCCTCCATGCCTACAATGGATGAAAGTCTCCTTGACCTCAACTACCATGGATGCCTAGTTTCTTTCAAAGTTCATCTCAAGTGCCACCTCATACATGAAGTATTTTCTAATCCTCTCAGTTGCTAGGACCATCACCCAAAATACTTACTTTATATGTACTTTGTACTTTGTATTTACTTATCAGTGTATATGTCAAGCTGTCCATTAAAATGGGAAATCCTTGATTGTGATGGCAAGAAATATTTGATTTCTGTCTTTGTATCCCCAGCACCCAGTACAATGCCTCTTACATAATAAGTACTTAATAAATGCTTGTTGATTAATGGATAAATTACTACAGGCAACAATTTCTCTTCTGTCCATGGTATTTTTTATCTCCTAATAGATCCCATGGTGTTTTGGTTTTTTTTAACAACCTCAAGTTCTGCATGCTATGTTTGTCCTTATATTTGGGGACGTTTTTGTTTTCCTTTAAATTATCAAACACCATTAACTCCATGTACATCTGCAGCTGTCACAGGCTTCAGACTTGGCATTCAGAAATAGAGACAATATTTGAATCATGTAAAATTTTCCATCGGAATTTGGGAGCAGAGCTGGATTGGCTGGAATAACTTAATTCTGATAAAAATTTCAACTGGCTCATGAAAATTAATATTTAGCTAATGATAACTTTAATATAAAATCTTTTAACACTAATATATGTTGAGTATTTAAAATACATTGGAAGCTCCTAAAGATTTCCAATTGTATGAAAATAAATACCCTAATAAAAATAGGCAAAATCTCTTTGGAGCATGGTATAGTGGCAAGAAGGTCAGCCAGGGGGTCAGAAATACCTGGGCTCCAGTCCTGCCTCTAATACACCAGCAGAGTGTTTGGCACATAGTAAGCATTTAATGATTTTTTAAAAAATTCTTTATTTAATGATTCAAACTAGATGTGAGACCATGGGTAAGTTAACCAAGTTCCCAGTATCACAAGCAACATTCTAAGATTATGAATTAGAGGTGATGAATTTGTAGGGATTGTTTCTTTCTTTGTATTTGTGACTCTAAAACCTAAAATGCCTGGCACACAGTAGGTTCTTAATAAATGGTTATTAATTAGTTGGTTGATCTACATCGGCAGGAGAAATTTCCATAAGGAAACAAACAAAGTTGTTTGCATGTTATCTTCCCTGTTAGATTGTAAGCTCCTTGTGGTCACGTACCATTCTTGCTTTTCTATAGATCTCCCCCCAGCACAATGACTGACACATAATTAATACTTAATGAATGTTGGTTAATTTCACTTGACAAGTGATGAAATTACAGACCACAAGCAAAACAACTACAATTACAACCCTGCACCTGGGGAAAGGATCTTTGATTTTGCTTTATTACGTGAATTTCCTCTTGCTAATTACTTCAAATATATATACTTCAAAAGTGACAATTGAGAGTTATCTTTTCCCCCCTAGGGAACAATGGCCTGAGAGCTGAAACATCTTTCTATTTTTGCTTGGTTGGAAGATGACATAGTGAATGATTGAGAGATTCCCTAAGCCTCAAACTGATACTTCAGATGGGCTGTTAAGATAACCTCACAGATGAGACTTGATTTGTGTGGGTGTTTCCCAGGTTTGAGATTTGTCTGAGAGTTCATAGCCTCCTTTTATTTTAAAAAAAAAAAAAGATATGAGAGGAGAAAAAGAAAAAAAAAAGGAAGACCCCATGGAATAGGATGAGGGAGCGTACCACAGCTCACCTATGGTAGCAGGTTAAACACTCAGTGGATGTGGGGCAAAGAGAAAGTTCTAGAACACTGTGTGCAGCCCATCAACCCGAATGAGGAACTGGGGAGTTGTAATCTGGGAAACCGTAGCCTGCACTGCTGTTGTGGCAAGCATCGCAGCCTCCCCAGGAACTCTCCAGGCTCCCATTTGGCCCCACACATGTGGCAATAAAGCCCAGCACATGCTACCCACATCAGAGTCTCGGCTAACATCTTGCCAATTGCCTGTTAACGGTCACTTTATTCTGCATTTGTGGAGATCAAGTAAGACCCTGGTCCTTGCCTTTCGGCACTTAATAAGAGTTCTGGTCTCTCGCCACTCTCAATGTGCTGCTCTGAAGTAGCTGACATCGTGTCATTCCCATGTATCCTTTTATTTGTGTGCAGAATGCCCAGAGGGGACCTTTGGTCCGAAGTGTGAGTTCAGCTGTCAATGCAAGAATGGAGCTGTTTGTGACCCTGTGAACGGAGCCTGTACCTGCCCAGCTGAGTGGACGGGAACATTCTGCCAAGAAGGTAATTTCTTCCTGCCTTTCTCCTTTAATTTGTGAGCAGACTTTTTGCAGGTCAGCTCCCATCATTCTCAACAGAGGCGGCTTTGGGTAGCAACTGGAGGTCGAGTGATTGGGCTGGGCGTGTTTCCAGGTTTGTCCCTGTGTACCACTGAGCCCCACACGGACTGGTCTTTGCATCAGGCTTTTCTGAGCCTCGTTGCCTCCAAGAATGGAATAAACAAAGGGACTCTGGAGAGTGAAAGGTTCAGCCTAACGAGACACATCCTACAGCAGAGTGCTTCAACCAATGTCACTGACCAGCCTATTATCACCAAACCTTTCTGTAATACTGCATCTAGAAAACACTATCGTTTTTCTGGCATTTTTAGATTTGCAAAGTACTTTATATATATTAATTCAATTGTCACAACAACCCCATGAGGGAGCTCCTATAGGTGTTGTTCTACCCATTTTACAGAACAAACGGGATCAGAGGTGATTTGCCCAGGGTCACACAGCTAGGGCCATAGGAAGGACAGGACCCAGATCTTCCTGACATGACTTTAAGTAGAATGCTTTTGTCTACTCCATCATTTACCACTTCTTGTAATATTAGTTTGATGTTAAGTGACTTGTCCAGGGTCACACAGAAAATAAACCCCCTGTATTAGCAACTGGGAATCACATTGAGATTTAGTCAGGATCTGTTCTCTATATATCAATGTCAGGAACTCCTTCCACCAACACAAATTGACCACTTAAGTCTTAGAGTTTCCAGCAGGCACTGAGATAAAGCAGTTTACTCATGGCTCTATCATGTGTGAGTATATATCATTCAGATTCTAAGGCTAGCCCTCTACCTACTATGCAATGTATGTGCTCTGGAAACCCTGTTAAGGCATGACAACCATTTTTATGCCACGGACCTCTCTGACAGGCTTATAGTCTATGGATCCCTTCTCAGGAAATGCATAAAATAAAATATGTTGATTCACAAAGGAAACTACTTCTATTGAAATACAGTTATCAAGATTTTTTTTTTTTAAGTTCACAGATCCCCAGGTTAAAAACTACTGTTAAAAGGACAATATGAGAAAAACAGAGAATTCCTTCCGGTGCAGTAGAGACTCCAAACCCTATTTCTTCCTAAAATAGACTGGGAAATTGATGTAAGGTGGAACAATACAATAGAGTGGGGCAAACTCACTCTCAATTCACCACAGTGACTGAGACTTGCCCACTCCCTGAAAAAAGTAGAACAAGAGTTTACTGGAGAAGGGAGGGTTTGACTGGAATCCTTGGTAAACAAAGGTAGAAGCTGATTTTTAATCTGTTCTAAAGGTTATTAGTGCAGCTAAAAATAGATCCCCCACTAGTCATGTCGGGAAGGAGAATAAAGCCTCTCTCCTAAAACCATGAAATTCTAGAAGTGAATATGTTATCACATAGTAATTTGCTAAACTGAAGCAAGAGTTATTTTGGATCGAATTTGCAACATAGCTCATGCATGAAATGATCTGTGGCGTGTTCTTGTGAAGTTGTTTTCACACCACAAAACGAAGAAAACGAAGGAGGGGAAAAAACGTATCCTGGCTGGAGCATTGTGCAAATATTGAAGGCTGTGATTGAGGGTTTTGTAGAAGGATCTGTGTGCAACTTGTCATTTCTATTTTATGAGCCAATAACTGTTCACCAAAATTACAGCTGTTTAGTTTTCAAAATTATCTGTTAATTTATAATAGGTTGAAGAAATTTACCTACAGGAGGAGATTGATGTTACTTATGGGGCTGCACCGCCATCTTGTGGTAGAGAAGACTTTTTTTAAACCTTGCATCTTCAAGGATTATCACGGAAAGGATGAGAAATGCATAGAGATTGTATTTCTTTTTGCCAGAAAACCCTATATTCAAAAAAGTATTGTGATAGCAATAGAGGTTAACGGTGATGCTGTGGGGAAAGTACCGGATTTTGAGGAGGACCTGGGTCCCAATTCCTCCTTTCTTATTACAAGTGCGATCTTGATTGTCTTGTAGTTTCTAGACTTCTATTATTTTTTTCCTCATCTGCAAAACAGGAGTTTAAAATGAGATGACCTCAAAGGTCCTTCCTAGCTCTGAAAACTTGTGCTGTCCTTCACCCCTCTGTTGACTTTCATTTCCTCATCCATAAAGTAAGTGTATTAGCTTCGATGATATGTCTAAGGTCCCTGCCAGCTTAATTTCTCTATGTCTAAACTCTATGAGAATTTCCTAGAACAGATCTAGAGATTGAAGAGACCACTCAGAGGTCATTGAGTCCAGCTGTCCCATTTTGCAGTTGAAGATACTGAGCCCTGGGGAAGTTGAGTTACTATCCAGGGGCACACAGCTCTTAAGCATCTGAGGCAGGTTTCTAACCCAAGTCTTGCTGACTGCCAGTCAGCACTCTCTATAGCACTATGCTACGGAGTGTGTGTGTGTGTGTGTGTGTGTGTGTATATACAGACATATATGTATGAACTTATATATATATACATGTGTGTATATATGTGCGCGTATGTATATAACCATAGAGATATATAGAAGATAATTTAACAACAGGCATTTATTAAGCACTTACTATTTACTAGGAATTGTACCAAGTGCTTAGACTACAAAGAAAGGTAAAAATAAGCCCTACTCTCAAAGAACTCATATTCTAACAGAGGAGACAACATAAAAATAGTTAGGTTCAAACAAGAAACAAACAAGGAAATGAAAGGTAGATTTAGTGGGGGAGGCTTCTGGCAGTTGGAAACACAGGGAAAGGCTTTCTCAAGTGGTGGGGGAAAGGTGCTGCTGCTGCTGCTGCTACATATGGCTCTGATACTTCAAAGTTAACTAAGCCCTTTCCTCTCAACAACTTTGGTTTTTAAGTATTTTACCAATGAGGAAACTCAAGCCCAGAGAGATTCGGACATGTACCAAGTCACACGGATGATAAATAACTAGCCTTCCGCTCCAGCTCCACGGTCCTCCAATTCCTGACACAGTGGCTTTCTCATTGGTCCATATTCCTGCCAATTACAAGGTTCAAAAGAGCTAATGATTGGAAAGCACTTTGCAAACTAGAAAGCACCACCAAAGGGCCGGTTGTTGCTTGTGAGACAACACAGGCAAAGCATTTGGCTGAATCTGAAAACTCTCTATTAAGTGCTAGCCATTGTTAATATCCCTGTAATTATTAGCAATTGAAAAGCAGCATCACTTAGCAGATAGAGGGCTGACCTTACAATCATGAACTATGGCACATTTAAGTCTTGTTTCTGACATGTGTTTTCTGTGTGCCCCTGGGCAAATCACTTAATTTCTCCATGTCTCAGACAGTTCTCTCATGCTGTAAGTTACAGCTGAGGGGCTTGATTGCCTTCATGGAGTAAGTCTTTTTTCCAGGAGTTTATTACACTGAGTAATCCCAGGTCCAGATCCATACCATTAAATCCTTGATTGATGGGAAATAGACAAGGAATGTGTATTAAAATACTTTATCCTTTAAGTGTCACAAGTTAAAAACAACATGGACATCACCAGCTTAAAGATGAAATGCTTGTCCAGATGTGCTGTGACACATCTAAGCCTGACCAACTTCATAGTTACGTTTATGGCAAAAATAACTATAATAATACGAAGAAAAGTTTGGACCTAGTTAGGTCCAGGTTAGTGCAAATAATTGATGCCTTGAAGCAGTCACACGTATTTCAATTCTCACTCTTCAAAGTTGTTATTAGATAAAATATGGTTTTTGGCTCCAACCCAATGGAAATATGCAATTTTAATTCAAATAATGCAACCACTTCATGAGATTCATTGTTCATATTAACTGGCTCCTAGCTTATCTTGTCCTTAGACTGAATTAGAAGTTATTTTTTTTCCTCTTTTAAAGACTATCTGGCTCAGGAGGATAGTTATCATGGTGTAAGGGAAAGAAAGCTGAGTCTGGAACCAAGACATAGGATGGGATCCCAGCTGTGTTACCTTGGGACCTTTGGCCAGTCATTTTTGATCTCTAAGTCTCTGTTTCTTCATCTCTGCATGTGGTTGGACTCAATGACCCTTAAGGCCCCTTCCCCTATGGTCTTTTGATCTTTAAGTTTTCAATTAATGCTTTCTGGACGGAAGGCTCATTTCCAGTAACGACCTCAATGTGTTGTCATGACTTAGAGCTTGACAATTCACCAAAAGACCTGAGTTTTCACACCGGTGCTGGCTCTACTTGGCTATGCAAGTCTAGGATGGTTATTAAACCTTAGTTTCTTCATTTGTAAAACCAGCAGATCAGGTCCATAACTCCTCTAAAAACACTCTGTGATTCCATTCTAGGCTAAATTGAATTGGCCACACCCCAACAGTCATCTGGCAGCTTCCTGGCAATGCTAGCCCTTTGCCAGTGTTTCTATTTCACTCCAGGCTGTGGTTTCTCTTTTGAGCTTTTAATGATATAATTCGCCTTAGGTTTCCCTCTTGATTTTCTCCAATCACTTTTAAAACTTGCTGAATAACTCCGTGGCCACCAGATGGCTCTACTACACCATTTCCTCACAGTAGACCTGTCTGACATTAGTTCTACTTCTCTGTTTTCAGGGCTAAAACTCATCTGAGACACAGCATATTCTATAGGAGTTGGGACATTCATGCCAACCCTATGACAATAGAAAAATGAAGAATAAAGAGTGGGGATTAAAGAAGGACCCACTGTGTGTCACAGAAATAAAAGTACCCCCTTGAGATCATTGTGTCTTCAAGAGTGTGGAGGCTTTTTGAGCTCTATATTAAAATGCAATATTGGCTGAGTTTTTCCATCATCCCATACCAAAGCTAGAAATGTAGTATAATGAATAGAGTGTTGATATTGGAGTCAGGAATGCTTGGGTTTAAAACTCACTTCTGACAATGACTGGATATCTGACCAAGGGCAAATCACTTAAGCTCTCCAAACCTCAGTTTCTTTCTCTGAAAAATGGAGATAATACCCATATTATTCATACCTATGATTCAAAACATTGT